CCACCGGGCACCCGCTGCCTTCCTGCAGCAGCAGCTGAATCCAGTCTGTGGTTTTCCCAATACATGCAGAACGAGCCTCCCCCACGCCCCAGCTCCCGCCCAGAGACGGCATAGCCAGAAGGCATGCCTCTTCAGAAGGCACCCCAGGACCCCCGGCCTCCAGGACGCCTCACAGCAGTGATTTTCAAACCTGAAGAGTGTGTCAGAATCACTTGAAGGACTTGGTAAGACATGGACCACCGAGCCTCACCTCAACTTTCTGATTTAGTGGGTCTGAGATGGCCCAATAATCTGCATTTCCCATAAGTTCCCAGCTTATGTTGAAGCTGCTGGACTGGGAGCCACACTTTGAGCCACCACCTTAGAGGTCTGCATTTACACTTTCCATTGCCCAGTTAACTTATATCCAACTAACATCATTTACGTCCTGACTGGCCCCTGATCGATACAGAAAGTGGCACCAGGTATGGTTCTGAGAACAGAGGCTTTGGGATTGGGCTCATGTCCTTGTCCTGAATGCAGTGCTGAGTTCTTGGTCGTGGGAAATCAGATCCCTGTGGCCCCAGGCAGGCAGCAGCATCAAGATGGAAGAAGTATCACTGTGACTGTGGTGTTGCTCCCGCCCGCCCCTCCCCGCCCCGCCAGGGGTGCTGGGGTCCAGGCGGCTGCTGCCCAGGGCATCATGAGGACCACAGGCCTTGGTGTGGGCGTCGTCCTGCAAGCATGCTGGGCTCGTACAGAGAGGAAACAACAAGCTCAGGTGGTGGACTCTCAGTCACAGTCAGAGAAGCTGAGTCCTCTAGGGCAGCCCTAAAAAGCCCTCATCTTGTAGCTATAGGGCTGGCACTTCCAAAATCAAACACAAAATGTCATTCTGCAGGATGCAGAACTTCACCACCACTGAATTCACAGCCTCACCACGTCTCTGACATGAAAACTCGGACGCTAATTTGGAAGGAGTGTGACCTTGGAACCCAGCATAGGGACGTTGGTTGGACTCAGACAAAGCTGAGATTCCTGAATCCCAGAGTGACTCTGAGCCTCCCTCAGCAGTGGAAACAGCTGGCTCTGCAGTGTCAGAATCCCCTTTCTTTGCTTGGAAGCCCAGTGACAAGCTTTCCTGGGCAGATGCCTTGCACAGGGTCACTCATTCTGCAGACAACCGCAGCCGCCCCTGCTGCCACCAGACCTGTGACTGGGGACAGACTCCAGTATGCTCCAGAGGGGAATGGCTTACACACGGAAAGAATGGCAAGGCTCTGCTATTTCATATCTGCAGAAACCTGGGAAGTAAGTGTGGGAATAGCTTCTAATAAAGTTAGACTAAGGAGGGGGACTTTATACCAGATTTGGCAGAATTTATTGATATAGGTGGACTTATCAGAAATGTGGATTTAATGTTTAGTGCATGTAGCTGGAAGAGGCTGTAAAGTTTTCTGGGTTGACTGCCTGAAATACAGGGCACTGCTGAGTCCATGTTTAATGAGGCTGAGATGCCAGAACTTCTGTGGCATAACGAAGAAGAGTGAATCCACAGGCTTAGGCGGCCTTCATTGCGTGCGGCCTGCACACCCAGCCCCCAGCTATACTCCCTGAAAGGGCCCAGAGGTCGTGCCTTTTCCCAGTCTTTGAGAAATATGAGTGAGGGGAGCCCCTCTACCCTTGAAAAGCTCTGTGCCGGCTGCATGCCGCAGGCCAGACACAAGGGCAGGAGACAGTGCCCGGGACGGCCTCACTGATTCCAGTGGACGACGGGCCCTGCGGTAGCCGGGGAGGCACGGGTGCTTATCTGCCCAAGCCAAGGCAAGCACATGTGATGAGAATGCTCTGACCCACAGGCGGCGTGGTGGTGGCCAATGGTTACAGTGTCCCCAGGAATGATACAGATGCAGTGCCTTCTGAAAAGCTTATACCTGGTCTATACACTAAGAAAAACTCTAAGTCTAGGGGCCAAAACCTGACTTGAGTCATCAAAATGGAGTGGAGTCCTCTCAGCCAGTTTCTAGACCCAGAGCCCCTTACTGAGAGGGAGGCTGGGTCCCTGAGGAGGTGGCCCTCAGCTCTGCCCCTTCACATACTGTTACTCTTCCCCTACTTACCAGAATGACTACACACTGGGGAAGAGGAAATGCAGAATCTTCGGGGTTAATAGACACTGGTCTGAAGGGACGCAAATTCCTGGAACCCAAAATGCCATGTGGTCGCTAGTCAAATGGGGGCTTATGGTCTTTGGGTGACAGATGGAGTCTTAGCCCAAGGTCAACCAGCAGGGGCTCAGGAGCTCTGCAGACCACGCTGCGGTTATTTCCCTAGTTTCTGAATGTGTAATTAAAAATGACAACCTGACAACTAGCAGGACCCCTACACTGGTTCTCAGACCCATGGATGAGGATCCCTGTGGTCAGAAGGACCAAGGAGGAAGCCTCTGGAACTTCCTCTTGCTACCAGGCTAGCCAATCAGATGCAGGCGATCATTCCCAGGGAAGTGCGGAGATGCGGAGAGGCAGAGGAGGTCCACATCACGCCCCTAGTTAAATGCCTGTTGGCCTGTGACTGCGTCTCCCAGAAGGATGTGGATTACTGTAATGACATGGATTACCATGCGGTGACTCTAAGTGCAGCGGTTGTTCCAGATGAGGATCTCAGGGGACCTGCTGCGATTGCCCAGACACATTCCTTCTCTCCAGTCCACTGTATAAGGACCCCAAAGGCAGTGCGCTTGGACCTGGCACAGCACCAACGTGCCTCAAGGCTACCTCGCCCTCTTGCTCTCTGACTTAATACCTTAATTACCTGCAAATGGCTGACTTTGGGCCCCAGACCAGTTATGACTCTGATACTTTGTACCCTCAGAATAAACTGGTCATAATATACGTGTTGTTCTGCAACTTGCTTTTTTTTTACTTAAAAAATAAATATATTCTCAACAAACCTTTTTTTCCTTCTTCTTAATGGCTCCATAGTATTCTGTTACATGCCTCTACCAGGATTATTTTATTATTTTGTGTCCAGTGAGGACATTCGGGTTGTTTCGGGTACTCTGCTATCCCTGTATGACCTTCTCTGCCTGCTTTGCCCTGGAGATGTATCACTGACTACTCAGTCTGTGTCTAGAAAACATGCTACTCGCCCCTTTCACACATCTTCAGCTTTGCTGTAACCAGTGCCCAACAGTCACCCCTCCGCCCCCTTAGCGCCCTCAAAGCCGAGAGCCTCACAGGATCCGTGACGCCCGGAGAAGATGCACGCACAGCTTCTATTAATTAGGGAAGTGACATTTACCAGATTAGCGACCTCCGACGATCCATAAAGCATCACCTTTTTCACGTATTACTCACTTTGGCTAAATTCTAAATTCAGAAGAAAGTCTATTTCACAGCAAGGGAAAAGCTGAGTAAGTGAAAGCAGACACAGGTTGTACCTGCTGTCACTTTGCGGTTGGTGGAAAACCAACGGTCAGGAGATCTGGTTCTTGAAAAAGTAAGCCTTTTGAGGACTGGGAGCACAGGTGAGCGTGGGTTGCTCTAGCAGTTCTTCATCTGGGGAATTCAGAATTTCTATTTATTTTACTACTGAAACCTGTAGTTACAGTGGTAGAGACTATATTTCTTAAAAGTGACTGTCTGCCACTTTCCCTTCTGTAAGACTACTGGATGCTACCCTGTCCTCTCAGTGTCAGACAATCAGAAAATCTTAGGGTTTTAGAAGGGATCTTGAAGGCTACCTCGTCTGAAGTGAATTTAGCAAAGTCATAGGATATGGAAAATTTACAAAAATCAGTTGTATTTTTATATGCTAACAAAAAACAACTGGAAAATAAAATTAAGAACAAAACCATTTTTACATTCCTGAGAATCCTGTGCAGCAGGCACTGAATGCAGCAAAGTGGCCCCAAGAGCCCAGGCATCCTCTGCAGAAGAGTTGCAGGGGCAAGCCAGGGGGAGCGACAGCAAAGCGGCTGGCGGGGGGGGCGGGGAGGGGTCCCAGAGTGCTGGCAGAGCTGGCAGAGCCTGGGCGCACATCTCCCACGTCAGCCCTGGACGAATCTGAAAGATGCTCGGGTGAACTCGCAAGGGCACCTTACCCCCCAAGTTCCACTGAGGAGTCAGCGAGCTGCCCTCCACGGGCCTCTGCCTGAGATCTGCCCCGCAGGGCTTCTGCCCCCTCCCATCCTCCCCAGGCCGAGGGCTCTCCCGGGAGAGCCCTCTGATAAAGCCCCGACTGCGGGAATTCCCGGCCCAGCGGCTACTTCTGGGGAACACAACTGAAGACAATCCTGCTTGGTAAAGATTTATATATAAATCTAGACACTAAATGCATACATGTATATATGTGTACACACATTTTATTATGTAAGTTGGAGGTAATTTGATCATTACATTGAGGCATTATTTAGGACTTTTCATATATGATTATAAGTAATATTGGTATAAAATGAGCTGCAATAAGCTCGATTTTAATACCAAAATCATCAGGTTCAAATTTTCTGCTAAAAGAGATCAATCAAGTTCTCTCTCGAGAGATTACCCACCCTGGTAATTTTTTCTTTTTAATCAATATTATTTCAAATTTATTCATATATATTCTACTAAATAACTGAGAAAAAAACATCAGGATCTACGGAGGGAGTCAGTCCAGTTTAACGGTTAATGGCTTAGGCTCTAACACACATCGGACAGACCTGTGTTCAAGTTCCAGACCCCATCATTCACCAGCTCTGTGAATTCAGTTCTTAAATTCGAGAATGTGTGGATTAGGCTTTGTGATTTAAATTCTTTCACTCTAGAACCTGAGTTTCCTTATTTATAGAAAAAGGACAATAATAGTACATTCCTTACAAGGCTGCCATGAAGAATGAAAATTCAGACGAAACCTCAGCACAGTGCCGACATGTACAAAGGACTCAATAAATGTCGGCAGGTGTCGCTGCATTTAAATTACCTTATAAAATAGCCGTCCAAACAATATACCAAAAAGTCATGAAAACTGGGCACACTTACTTGTAATGTAGTATCAAAGACAACGAGCTTTGAACTGGTGGGAACAATGTCGTAACACTTGTGTGACCTCATGAATCGCATGTAAACGCCACTTTCTGAGTCTTCTGCTAAAAAGGAAAGAAAAAAAGCAAGTATTAGTAATAACAAGGAACTTCCTTAATCAGATGAAGAGTATGGATGAAAAACCTACTGCTAAAAGACTTAATGGAAAATATGAAATGTTTTCCCTGTGGGAACAAGAAGGAGGTAAGGATGTTCACTCTTGCTAATTCAATTCAACTGTACTGGAGGTCCTTGCTGGTGCAGTAAGGCAAGAAAAAAAGGAAGGCATACTGATTGAAAAGGAAAAAGCAAAACTGTCTTTATTTGCAGACTATATAATTTTCTACATAGAACATACAAAAGAATCTATAAAAAAGTTCCCAGATCTTTAAAAAAAAAAATGAGTTTAGCAAGGTTATAGAATGCAGAGTTAATAAAAAATGAAAAACATGCTACTAAATTTCTATATACTAGCAATGAACAGCTGGAAATTAAAGAAACTTTTAAAGGTACCATTCACATACATCTCAAATGAAGATATGGATCTATACAATGAGACAGCAATGAAAATGTGGACACATGCATGTAATGTCTTTATTATTATTTAAATCTCTGTAAAAGTTAACTGACAACTGACAAAGGAATGACAATGTATTGTGGAGTTTACAGCATATTTATATGTAAACTGCATGGCACCACCATCCAACCAATGATGCAGAAATCTAGGCGTCAACCTTGTCATATGGTTTCCTGCACCCTAACCAATTTATCATGATGCACTGTGGAGTTTATATCCCAATCCATCCATTTCTCTCTACCTCCATGGATACCACCCTAGATCGGAAAAATACCCTAACTTCCTAAACAGTCTCTCTGCTTTCAATTTTGCTCTCTTCAACCGCTGTCCACACTGCGTCCAAAATGGTTTTGCCAGATGCAGATCTAATCATGTCACCCCTCGGTGGAAAACATGTCAATGGCTTCTAACTATTTTAGAAAAAAGACAAAATCCTTGACGTAGCCTATGAGACCCTGCCCTGAAAGGTCTGGCCCCCACCCACCTCCCCAGCCTCACCTATTGTGTGCCCCTACCCCAGTATTTCCTCCAGCCACCATGTCTCTTACCTCTCCTAAATGCTATGCTCTCTTCTTCCACAGGGCCTTCAGCTACTGTTTCCTCCGCCTGGAATACTTTTTCCATCTCTTCTTGGCCCACTTAACTCCTCCTTCACTAGACCTCAGCTCAAGGACATGACTGAGAAGTTGTGGAACCAGACTTTGAACCCAGATGCTTCTTGATTCTAAAGCTGTGCTCTTAGCCAGGATGATGGCCCTCCTCCTCCAGCCTGCAATGACTAACTCCTATCTTCATGGCTCAGCTCAAAGTATACATCTCCAAGAGACTTCTCTGACAGCTCCACTCAGCCCACACCCACCTGTACATTTGGAGAAGATTTGGATTACTCGGGAAATATCTGGGAAGAAACAATTACTTTAGTGTATATACCCATTAACAAAGTAAGTGTTAAACAGCATAACACTCATCAAGTTCCTTGACTGTGGGAAAGGAGCCCTTGTTAGTCTTTATATTTCCTCTGGGGTAAACACTCAGTATATGCTGATCAGTTTGCCAATTTATTGATAAACTATGTGAGCCACTCCCAAATCTCTGTTTTCAATTCTGACCTCTTTTCTGGGTACTATAATTCATAATTCATAATCCCACCATTCCAGTCACCTCCTAGACAGATCCCTTCTCAAATATCTCCCCTCCTGCTGGTGGAATAAAGTCAGACACCTTTGTCTGGCATTCGTGAGCCCTGGGGCCTGGCTTCTCTGTAACCTTAGGTTCCCACAGCCTGTTCTGATTTCCAGGCAAACAGCTCCCTGCTAAGTCCCCGACTGTCTCTAACCTCACTTTCTTGCATTTTTTCATTCTGCTTTAATTTAAACATCCCTCTCTACTGTTTCTTGTCCAATTTCAACCCAACCTTAAATGCCATCTTATCCACCAAAGAAGTGAACATTTGAGTGCTTGCTATGGACGAAATATTTTTGTACTGTCATACCAGATATTACAATAAATTACCTCATTTAATTTATGTAACAACCTTGAGGGGTATGCCTTCATTTCTTCATTTTACACAGGTGTAAACTGAAGCTAGGAGAAGCCAAGTAATGGCCCGAAGTCAGATAGTTAGGAAGTGACCAAGGCGGGATTTAAATCTATGTCCAAGACTCCAACACTCTCTTCATGAAACTCTGTTGCTTCATTTACTCACGAACACACGGTCCAGCAGATACCTGTGGAGCACTACTGCCTACCAGGCACTGTCCCCAGTGTGGAGACACACAGGTGAACACAACAGACCTGGTCTCTGCACCCAAGCTCACACGCTGGCAGAGAATGAGGGCACCTGGATAGACATAGCTCGACAGGAGAAGTAGTGGATCACATAAGACCACAGAGGCGGGTAACAGCCCTGAGAAGGGGAAAGAAGGAAGTCTAAAACGACGTCTTCCTCTGACTACGGATGGCATCCTACCTGTATTCCTCATGAGCCATCACTTTATATCTCGTTCACAGATGATAATTTCTTTGAACGGTCAGGATCCTACCCATCTATTACATTAATAATTCAGTCAATAACTCTTTATTGCATATGGTCTTAGTGTGGGTTCTCCCAAACCTGACCCCGAGACCTGCAGAAGTGAGATGGGGAAGGAAAAAGTCAAAAAAGGGTCATCACTGAGCAGGTTGTAGCTTTGTGCAACGAGAGCCGAGGCTGCCAGGGACACTGTCTCATCGTAAGGACCACTCCTACCCTCTCTGGTTAGGGGTTACCCTGGGGCATGACCTCTGGCATTTCTGCCCTGCGCTCACAGCGCAGAGATGTTGACATAAGAGAACCTGGATGCAGGTGAGGCAAAGACAGCATTAGCTACCAAGAGCCTCCCTGTGCTAGAGGCTGGGGGTCTCCGGGGGGACCTCACAGATACCAGGACCAGTGGAAGAGAGATGTCTCTGTCATTACACCATCGTGAGCGCTGCCACAGGACAAGGACGGGCTTACGAATGAACGTCAGTGGCAGGCAGCGAATGGATGGGTGAAATGTAAGTTAATGTACTTCCATTTTCCTTGAAACATTTATCTATCGGAAAACAGGAATCTTCCACAGGAAAGAACAGAACATAGAAAGATCTAATAATAGCTGCCTAGAAAGTCCAGATCCATTGCTGCATCACTGCTCCCACAGGGGCAAGGATGATGTCTGTCACGCTGGTAAAGGCGTCGTCTCCTTGTATGTATGTCTGATATTTTTCTCACGATTAGACTGGCATTATTGGTTTTGAGGAGGATCCACATTTTTTTAAAACGTGAAAAGCTTGACCAAACAAAGCAAAATGTTAAATATGTAAGGCAAATTATAATAAAATGTATTTTGATTTGTTATAAGGATAGATTATTACTGATGTAATAAAACAACATTAATAACAAAAGTTGTTGTTAAAAGTTAGCATTTTAAGTTAGGAAAATAAAGTAAAATAGCATAAAATGTCATTGCTTCTCCACACTTAATATAAACTTTCTGATTATAGATGGCACCATTTGTATTATTTACATTCTGATGAGGTCTCAAATTGCACTTGAAGAAATGCATTGAAAGAGAAAATAAGAGTAATCTGGAGTTAAAGCAATTAAAAAAAAACCCAGACAAAAAAACCCATTCAACAATAACAGGTTATTTGGAATGCATTAATAAAATTCCTGAGAAGGCAATAAGTTCAAACTCTCATTATTCAAAAGGCAACTGGAGTTAAGATGTTATCAAAATGTTCCATTCTTGCTTCTGTTGTTTTATATGTCACTGGAAGAAGCATAATTACAGAGTATTTACTGGCACTTGGGGCACTGGTCTACTAAAGGAATGTTTGTGGGATGATGATAAATCTCACCACCCTTCCAATCATATGCTAACCCAACATTACTGCTCAAGGGAGCTGCTGAAGACTACTACCGGGAAAAAGTCTGTTAGAGTGTCTAATTTGTGAAGTTAACAAAACGATTTGAAAACAACATCTATGCTTAAATGCATACAATTATGCCCACTAAACAGGAAAGCGTAGAAGGAAGCGTTTCTCTTTCTGAAAGCAGACTGATCACACACCACCCTTGACAAGTCCTCTCCACTACACAACAAACCCCCCATCACTCAAGGATTCCAGCAATCTCACTCTAAGCTCCCTTCCCAGCCCCACCTCCCACCACATCCCCCAGGAATCTCACACTCTAGGACAGCATCGATACTGCCTTTTCAAAGGAAATTTTGAACTCTGAGAATGTGCTCCTGTGTTTCTGCCTCTGCTTTGGCGTGCTCTTCTCTCTTCTACAACAGTGCCTTCCCATCCCACCAGGGCTTACTGAAATTCTACCTGCCTTTTGGCAGTGGGTTGAGCACCGGCCCCCCAAAAGATATGTCTACCTAGAACGTCAGAAGGAGACCCTATTTGGAATAAGGGTCTTTGCCGATGCAATTAAAGTAAGGATTCCAAGATGAGGTCATCCTGCATCCTAAATGCAATGACCAGTATCCTCATAAAAGAGGGAAAAGGAGAAGACACAGACACAGAGGTGCCCACGGGAAGACAGAGACAGAGATTAGAGTGACACGGCCACAAGCCAAGGAACACCAAAGACTGCAGACAACCACTAGAAGCCAAGAGGGAGGCACGGAACAGATTCCCCTCAGGGCCTCCAGAAGGGATCAGCCCTGCCAACACGCTGATTTCAGACTTCGGGCCACCAGATTGTGAGGGAATACAGTGCTGTTGTTCTAAGCCACCAAGTTTGTGGTAATTTGTAATGGCAGCCTCAGGAAACTAACACAGCTTCAAAGTTCAGTTCAAAGGCCATTCCTCCTGTAACACCTTCCTTAAGGCCTTCAAGTCAGAAGTAAACACTCCAGTTTTGACACTCCCATTAGTGATTTGTGAGTAATTCACTTCTGGAGTCGCTGGATGCCTTGTACTAAAGTTACAGGCCTGCCCTTCCTTTAGACTGCA